ATGCTAATTATCTTTGCTTTTTTCTTTCATTTTTTTCTCTGTCATTCTTTGTTTTTATCTAATTATATTTTCTTCTTTCTTTCGTTCATTCTTTTCAGGTAATTGTCTTTTTTTTCAATAATTCTTTCTTTGTTTTTCTTTCTTTTTTCTTTTATTAGCTTATATTTCCATATACCGTCTTCTTTCTTTCTTTAAATGCTTACATTTCCTGATAATTTTTGCCCTGATTATTATGTTTTATTTATCTTCCATTCTCTCTCTCTTTCTTCCCCCCTCTCTTCATCTATTTATTTATTCCTTTTGTTTTGGGATTTTTCTGATAACTGTCCTTTCTTTTTTTTCTCTCTTTCCAATCAAAACTGCAAGTGAAAAGTGAAAATGAAAGTGAAAGTGAAAATATTTTATGTATATAAACTTTTTTAGATTGTTTGTTTGTTGTTTCTTCCTTCCTTCTTTCTTTCTTTCCCGATAAAGATCAATCTTTTTTTTTCTATCTTTATTCGTAATCATCTTTTTATTTTTTTCTCTTTCTCTTTGTCTTTAGTATCCTCTTTCTTTCTTTGCTTTTGCTTCTTCTCGCTATCAAACCGAATAGTTCATTATTTATGATGTATTGGCAGAAGAATATAAACATTCCTCTTTTTCTTTCTTTCTTTCTCTCTCTCTCTCTTTTCTTTCTTTCATTCTTTTTTTCTTTCTTTCTCTCTTCCACGTCTTCTTTCTTTTTCAATGAAACCATGTAGCCTCTCTAGATTTTCTATTTTACCACGAGATAAAAACGGAATAGTCCATTATCTCTGCGATAATGGCAGGAGACATTACACCATTCCGTTTTCTTTTCTTTTCTTTCTTTCTTTCTTTCTTTCTTTCTTTCTTTCTTTCTTTTTCAGTAAAACCAAGTATCCTCTCTAGATTTTCTATTTTTCCCTCTTTCCATGCGCTCAAGATGGAATAGTCCATTATTTATGAGATATTGGCAAAAGACATTACGCAATCTCTCATCCTTTCTTTTTTCTTTCTTTCTTTCTTTCTTTCTTTCTTTCTTTCTTTCTTTCTTTCTTTCTATTTCAGTGAAACCAAGTAGCCTCTCTAGATTTTCTATGTTCTTCTTCTATCCACGCGATCCAGAGAGAATAGTCGATTATTTATGAGATATTTGCAAGAGACATTACACAATCTCTCATTCTTTCTTTCTTTCTTTTTTCTTTCTTATTGAAACCAAATAGCCTCTCTAGATTTTCTATCCCCGCTCATTCCACGCGGTCCAGACGGAATAGTCCATTATTTATAAGATAACCGCAGGGCGTAACTTTTAGACTAACTAAAAGAAACAATCAGTAATATAAATCTACAATAATACTTCAGATCATTGTTAATCTTCTTCTCAATGCAAAATCTATCATATAAAACTAACAAGTCAGCTTATCCCGAATGAGTAACAAAAAGTCATTATAATCTTAATAGGTTTGTGCCCAATTAATTCTCTCATCAAATAAGCTTTTCTTTGGAAAAAAGATGAATAAAATTAAAATCCGTTTATGATGTACACATCACACTACTCCAGATACTTGCACAACTGGGATGTGAGTACAGCAAGTCGACTCGTATATCGACTACAAAGAAATATATAGACTTGATGATGTACATTAGAAAATATGCAAACGTCATGGGTTTGCCATCATTTCCGTCGAAAATCCTAGTAGCAAAAATAATAAGCTCAGTTCCACCCCTAAACGAGTAATATGAGTATATAGGTTCACCTGTCATCCGGTTCACACTCCTCCCCTGTTTTTTGAACAGGGGAATAGGTTTATCCCCGATTTTCTTTTTTTTTAGAATTGGGTTTCCGCTTCCTTCTAACATATTTCCCTTGTCTTTCACTTCCAGTAACCCTTTTATGTCTTAGTGACATTATCGCCGTGCTTGGAGGTGAATTAATTAAAAGAGGAAAACCAGCTTTTTAACCGAAAAATTTTAACGAAGGTAAAGACGGCCAGCAATGTTATAACAGAATAAGATACGCAGATGACACCGTGTTGGTGAGTTATTTCGCAAAAACATGTGACAATATCTATTTGAACTGCTGGAAAAACTCGATCTATTTTGAAAAGAGGTTAGATTAATCCAGAACTTATATTGGGTGCACACCGACCGCATGCTGAAAGCAAATAAATGGAGTATCTATAAAAAGAAATAATAGAAAGGTACGTAAGACAAGGAGGTCTCTTCTCTCCAGATTTATAAACAATTTAATAAAGGAATAGCGATTATTGTTTTTCATTCTCAAGAACAAATGTATAAATACATTTTCAACGTATTTTAGGACGATATATTAAAAGCCTAATCAAATGATTAGGCTTTTAATATATCATCCTAAAATATGTTGAAAATATATCATCCTAAATTATGTTTTCTAAAACAACAAGCGTTGCCGAGGAGTGAAAGTAATTAAACTATGAAAAAAAAAAAAAACACACACACACACACACACACACACTGAGAGTGTTTCTTGGAGTGTTTCATTTTTTAAAATTATTTTTATTTGCAAAGAAAAAAATGACAATAATGCCGCTAATACGCAAGGGTTTATGTTGAGTGAAAAAAAAATAATAAGACTTTAGCAGAAAGAACCGAATCCTAAACTGGAAACAAGTTATGAACTCATACTCCTTCTCAAGAGAGTGAACAAGGCGATAGGCAAACCTCTCTGCTCCTATTGAATTTGCTGATAACACCTCATAAAAGAAAAAAAGATAGACACTGTCTTTCATTACGAAGGCATTACAACCTTTCTCAGTGTCTAATAAATGTTCATACGAAATTTGAATATTCTACATATTTAGTTGTGTATGGCAAAGAGAAAAGAAAACTTTCACTTCTGTTGTGTCCGAACAAAAGATCGTAGCGATTATTATGTGAATTTCAAAGAAAATGTCTAAATATTTTTCCATTGATAAATTCAATCAGATATTCGACTACATTTCGACATTTTAGAAACCGCTTCATAGTTCTATTCTCTCGGAAATTGGCATATTTTTTGGCGATGAACTGGTCTAAGTAATTTTTACAGGCTTCCAGAGAATTTAAGTTTCTTTCCTCCCCCCAATTAGAGTCTTTTTTAGGGAACGAAAGTAAGTGATGAAAGGGAATTGCAAGGTCAAATGAGTACTACGTGTGTAGCTGGGCATCCCAGTCATGCTGTGACAAATGTGGCTAGATATCAATAAGGTGTGAAATCTGGCGTTGAACTGATAGAAGGCGTCACCCTTCCGATTGGCTAATTCATGTTTCCTTTCTTTGATTTCTGCTTTTTGTCTGTTCAAATCGACACGGTGCTTCAACGTTCGATTTCGCAGAAGCGTATATTGAATTATGTAGTTCTTATAAAACCACATATATAGAAAATCATTTTTAATTTTCCCAGCTGGGTTTCCTTCGCTCCAGGACAATTCTCGCTCCACATTGTTGTAAACCATAGATTTTTCATCACCTCTGGTCATTTTTTTTTCATTTTCAAAAATGGGTCACTGTTTTGCATTTGAGAGAAAAATCACAGACATAAGTGGGGTCCATTGTTTTGTTTGCTTTTTTTGTTGCGTTAAATTGTAAAGCCCCCGAAACACCTTAGAGATTCTCCTATACATGTGTTTCCAAATGTCTTTCAACGCTTATATGAGATATATGGAGTACATCTACGATATCCCGTGTTGTGTGTCCTGGATTAGTTTTAAATAGAATTTTTGAATTGCTAACCATCCACTATAGCTCTCCTATCGGAACTTTCTTGGTTTTCCTCATAAAATTGTCCACTTCTGAACCTAGAAAGTCTCTTACATACATTGCTGTCAGGTATGACACCATCTCCATAAACGGCGCATATCGTCTTTGCTGTTTGTTCAATGATTTTACCTTTCCAGAAATTGAAAATAGAAAAGAAAAGTATATAAAAGCAACTCATGTTACTTCCATTCAAGATCCACAGAGGGATCTTATAAAAAACGTTAAAATGTCTCTTTTCAGAATATGTATACATGTCCTAAATTTCATTTACTTGAGGAACGAAATCACTTGTTCAAATTCAACCTATTGAAAAAACGCTTCAAAATCTCCTTCCAACCCAATAGATGCTTATATATTTTTTCTAATATTGTAGTTATAATTGCTATTATTATTTCAGTAATTAATTGATTAAAGAACAACTCTTTCTTATTACGATATTATGGCTTTTAGCTTAATTATCATCATAATAGCCATGTTAATTTATTAAGGCGAAATAATGATTTAGTAATTAGAAATAATAATTAATTGTGGGCAGATGTAATTAATATTTAGCATGTTCACAGAAACTAATCAGAAATAACCATTAGGGCGTGTATTAATGCCCTTAAATAGATAAAAGATATAAAATAAATAAGAATTAACAGAAAAATATCTGCATCAATCAAAACTGCAAGTGAAAAGTGAAAGTGAAAGTGAAAATATGATAATTAGGCTAAAATAAAACTGGGCGGGGATACTGAAAAATGGCGCTAAAATTTTTGACTCTGATTGCAAACTGCAGAAAGCAATGCTCGCTTTTAAGGCCTCGAAATTTAATAATGATAAAAATAGCAGATTCTCTCCTCCTTACACAGAATTTTCGTTTATCGTCACAGCGGAGCGATGGCAGACTATGTAAACAAAGGACAAACAAATACATGTAAATGACAGACGAGTGAATGTTCGCAAAAATTTGCGGACGTTTTCGAAACAATGGCGCTCAACTCGAAAGTGAACTACACCGCGTATTTCAGTGACTCACTGAACTCGTTGCACGGCGAAGAAAATTGCGCCTAACGTGAGCAAAGCGAGATATCTGTTGGAAGAGGAAAGAACGGTAAAAGAAAACGGGGAATGGGAAATGATTTTAAAAAAATATACAATATGTGTTTTTATGCATCTGCTTTAAATTTCAGTTTACGCATTCTTTCTTTCCCAACATGTAATTCGCTGCCACAGACAATACTGCGATTGAAGAAGTCCTCTTTTCTTTCTTCATATTTATACGGTCCCGTCATCTCCTTTGGAAGGGCCATCGGAATGGATCTCCAAATTCCAGAGTATTTTATTCATTTTTCAATGACATTATTTGTTTTTTTTTTTTTGTTTTGTTTTGTTTTTTTTTGTTTTTGTTTTTTTGTCTATTTAACGGTATATCAACTCCTTGGATTAGTGCAGATATTTTTTCTATTAATTCTTATTTTATTTTATAATATTTATCTATTGAAAGGTAATACTATTTGTAATTCATCATAATTATTATTTCTAATTAGTTTCACTTTCACTTTCACTTTTCACTTCCAGTTTTGGTTTGGTGCAGATATTTTTTTCTATCAATTCTCATTTTATTTTATAACTTTTAAAGATCAATACTATTTTTACTCGTCGTATTTATTGTTAGGGGTCATTTAATGCTGAAATGTAATTTTCTTGGAAGTTTTTAAGTAATAAAAATATCTCATTCTGCTTCCACAATTAAATACATCGTAGAGGTTACTCAGTTTTTGTAGATATACATGTTTGTGTAGACATAATTACTAGATGCGGTAATGAGTGCTTTATTTTATTGTTTTGCAAAAGTTATATTTCGGAATACAGTTCGATCTAAGAAACTGTATTATATTATATAGGTTAATGTCATGAACGTTATTTCATTTTGGCTGTTTGTTTTTTTTTTAATATATATCAACTTCTATGGGTTATTTAATGCCGAATTCTAATTCTTTGCCTTCAACTACAGATAAGATGTATTACTGGTAATTTTACTATAAATAGGTATTGTTGGTAATGTGTTTTTTTATAGAAAATGTATTTTTATACTTTCATATGGTTTTTCTTTTGTTTGGGAGGTCACTATTTGCCTATCACTGGGAACCCTAACAGTATATTGCTTCTGGGCTCAAATAAAGCGACGAACACACACACACATACACACTTATATATATATATATCTTTATTATTCAAGTTGCGGTGAACTCATAGAGTGAGGGAGATTCACAAAAGTAAGGACTGCGCATACATGTATTGACGGAGACAAATTTTCTGTGACCCTCTAGCTAATCTTTCTGGCCAGTTCAAAATCGAACCTGTTAAATGACATTTGGACACCAACGCCACTTCACGTGTCTACGCCTTCTTCGCGTGTCTACTTCGTGTAACCACGCCTCTTCCGGCATACGCCTACGCAAGCTAGCATTTCCCGCTCAGGGCACCCGTGTGCCCTCTTTATTCAAGGCTCAGGTCACCTGTGCGTCCTGTTTATTTTAGTCACCCGATGCATTTCCTGTTTATGCTATCTCTAGTTCCGATTTCCGCTCACACAGTGATGCATCAGAAGTAAGGCCAAACGTTTTTCCTCAACCGATATCCATCACTACCACCCCAGCTCAGTGTATACCTGGTAACAACAGCAATTAAGAGGTCGTTCCACCCTCTTCAAAACCTCTCAATCAGAGGCCTTGCTGCCTGATTTAGTTTATCGTCATACCAAGGACAACATTTTGTATGTACTGGAAAAAGTATTTACGTGGTGCAACCTAAATCGTTCGTATTGTGTGGGCCAAAAATTTTTGTTGGGTATACTTTCGCCAACCCAAAAGATTATCTTGCATTTCATATTGCTATAAAACTTCTTTCTTACTGTACAAATGTTTGAAGAGACATCGCTATTTTTTAACAATGAAATTCATCTTCAATGAACTGGGTATCTAGGGTCGTACACAGGAAAATGTGCTTACTAACAATGATTCCACATATATTCCCAGTTTTCCATGTGATACCATTTTTGTGTTAAGTGTGTCCGACTATTAAGACACGAGAAGTCAACACAGTAAATATAATGGTAATGGTAATATTAGCTGTTTCCTTATAAGGAAACATTCGGTATTCAGTAATCGAACGGTCAGGATCTATTAGCAAAATAGGTTTTTCAAGTCTTGTAGCTGTTATTACTCTGTCCATTATTGATGGAGGGATCCTAACTTTTAGTTAAAGAAGTATGGAATGTCAACATCTTGCTAATATCATTGTTTTCTCATCGGGTTACATATAGTATCCATTTTAGCTGCAGTTGAAAGTTTTACAGTGATGTGGTTTCTGTTATTTGGTACAGATCTTTGTTTTTGATACTGTAGCGTCAGTTAGAAAAAAAGGAATAATTTTCGTCAAGGCACAACTCACTCAAAACCATTTTAATCAGTGATCTTAGAAAGTAGTTGTATACAATTTACAGCTTATATATTTCCGGACGGGTCTGGCACCATCCATGGCATCCATATGGAAGTCTCGATCTGACGTGGCTATTTCAGGACCGGATTCGTGTTTTCAGAAGAAATATTGTCTGATTAAAATGTCTTTCTCTTTTCGTTTCGGGTAAGAAAATTTACACTTGTCAGAAATATACGATAACAATAACATGTCCAAATTGCATAGCGAAGTTTCTTGTATCAAGTAATTAAACGTTTGTTGTGAATTGTGAGATATGTAGATAAACTTATATTATGACAGCGTCCTAGGTATGACGACAGACTGCATCCGGCAGCAAGGCCTCTGATTGGGAGGTTTTGAGGAGTGTGAAACCACCTCTTAGTTGCTGTTGTCCCCAGGTCCAACCTGACCCTGTAGCATCTGTTATGGTCCCAGGTTTGGGCAAATAGCTAACCCCCAACTGTGGTTAAAACAATATTAAAGTATAATAATAGATTTTTATAGTGAAAATAGAATCAATACACCCTCCATCTTTAAGGCATTCATCTATGGACAAAGCGTCAACATTCAATAGAGTCTGACTAGCAATTAAACGATGCAAGTTTTCAATCTAGAACACACCAGAAATCGGTACAAAAACAGAAGAATGTGTTCAGTTGCGGTCATTTTGAATTGAGTTTCAAAATCGGGCACAGACATTTGGAAAGATCTGATATCATGCCAGTGAGATATTTGAGTTAACACAATTCTTCAATACTTACACTATCTGTCTGTCTGTCTATTTATCTATCTATCTATCTATATTGAAATCTTCGGTTTATTTTCTACAGTGGCAAGCAGAGCGCCTATATCGACGTCAGGAGGGTACTTAGGTTACAATCACCCTGAAGAAATCCGTAAAACCACTTCTGACTCACCGAAGTTCGACCCAAATAAACATTCTGAATTTTTTTTTTTTTTTTTGTCGCAGATCTGAAGTTTACTCCTTTCCAAAATTCATTCAAAATTCATACGGCAAAAGTGCTACTCTTCACCCTCCATCTTTAAAGCATTCATTTGTGGATAAAACGTCAAAATTCAACAAATCCAACACAGACAGTGGCGTGCAAATATTTTGAGACTCCTTTCTAGAATCATTACTTTTGTTATACATGTTAGGAACCATCTACCAAGATATGTTTTTATCCGAGTTTCGGGACTGCAAACATTTAACAACAACAACAACCACACGTATTTTAAATGAAACATAAGAAAAGATTATTCTCAGAAGCAGAACATCAGTTAAAATAGCATTTATATGTTCTTTTCAGAAGTATACGATAACAATAAAATGTTCAATTCCTTGTAGTGAAGTTTGTTTTATAATCTAATTAAGTGTTCATAGCGCAATGTGAGATGTATGGCCAGACCTACTTTATGAAGGTCAGCCTAATGTGTTTGTGAGTCCGCAGACAAAGACTTAGGAGGCAGCTGCTTGCTGTTCTTTTCTGTGTATGCGTGGACAAGACCTTAGTTGGCTACTGCTGACTGCCATCTTTTCCATTGTGTGCGTGCATGTGGGCATGTGCATGTAGATCAAACTGGCCTCAGAAATCGCTTTTGAACCCCAAGTAGCAGTATGCAACTATTTTTATATCCGTAAGGAGATTCAAATGTTAATTGCACATAGAAGTGAATATTGAATATAAGGTTTTAATTAGTTAGGAAATAATTTTACACTAGCTCGCGAAAATCGTTTTCTCGAATTTGTGGGAGTAGTGTAGGGAGTTTTTATTGTTATTTTCTAAACAGGTCTACAACTACGTCCGCCAATTTTGACTGCATCTGCCCTAGTTATTATTTTTATTATTAAACAAACTTTCTGATAGGAACTTATTGTTTGAAAAATATAGATAGGATTTAATTTCTTTATTGTCACGCGTCTTTTCCAGTAAACCTGACTATAAGAATTTTCGTACTACCCGAACAAAGGATTGGACTCACTTCTAGAATGGCTAATAATCATTTTTTAGTTGTTTACTAAGATCAGATTAAAGAGGCTACATATATGCGGATCCTTACTCTGTCTAGTCGATGGAATCAGTAATCATTAATTCCAGACAAGACTCTCAAAATACTTTATGTCAGTTTGTTTTAGAAAAGAAAGAACTAAGGAAAGAAAGGAACAAAGAAATGGAAACAGAAGAAAGAAAGGAAGAAAGACTGAAAGAAAAAAGACAAAGAATGAAAGAAAAAAGAAAGATAGAATGAAAGAAAGAAAAAGAAAGAATGAAAGAAAAAAGAAAGTATGAAAAATAGAAAGAAAGAAAGAAAGAAAGGATGAAAGAAAAAGAAAGAAAGAATGAAAGAAAGAACGAAAAAACAAAGAAGGAAACAAAGAAAAAAAGAAAGAAAAAGAAACAAGGCAAAAATTGAGAAAGAAAGAAAGAATGCAAAAGAAAACTAAAGAAATATAATCTAAGAAATAAAAGAACGAAAGAAAAATAACGAAAGAAAGAAAGGAAGAAAGAAAGAATGAAAATAAATATAGAAAAAGCATGAAAGAATAAAAGAAAGAAAGAGAAAGAAAGAATAAAACAATGAAAGAGAAAGAAAGAATGAAAGAGAAAAAGAAAGAAAGAACAAGAAAAATAAAGAGAAAGAATGAAAGAAAGAAAAAGAAAAGAAACAAAAATTAAAGAAACAAACAAAAAGTTATGAATGAAGAAAGTAAAAGAATTAAATTTAAATTTCAAGTTTCATTTAGTATTACCATTTGTATTAATATTTCTTTCATCATATTTAAGGTAGATTCTGTGTATGGGTGGTGCACTGGAGACGGGTTAAAAATGAAAAATCACAGAGATGAGTTCGAATTCTAGTCGGCTTCGTTAATTTTATTCCTTCACAGATTCTCGAGGAATATGTCTCTGTTTATATTTCCTGTGTTTTTCTTACTTTCTCTATCATTTGTCTTTCCTGCTTAAATTTATCTGAAATATATCTAAAGTGTAATATGTTAGGAGGCGGAGAGATGAGATTCAATTACAGTCTGGTTCGTTACATTCAATTACGCGCAGATGCACTTATCATTGGTTTGGATCCATCATCTTCCTCCAGCTATGGGTTAAATATTAGGACTTGTATCTGGAAAAAATAATCTTTATTCTATAAAAAAATAATGCAATATTCCTTCGAAAAAAGAAGATTTATTCATACAAGTAAGTTGTGACTTTAAATAATCCAAAAATAGGTTGATAATCCATAAAAATAAATCAATTCGCTAAAGCAAATCTAAGATGGTAATAATATGATTTAAAGTATGACTTATCTAAGAAAATCAAGTCCAGTTTTTTGTGCGTCCCAAGCACAGATTTTATGAACTTGGTCCAAAAATCAAGATTTTTATCAAGTTGTCGAAAAAGTAGAAATATGATGGAATGAAAGTAGTACCCACCCCGAATTCCTCAGAATATGGAATTTTTAAATTCCAAAAACTTTAAGTACCTTGGCGTATAAATCTGTTAGAACATTTTAATATGAATATTTAATATTTTTAATATAGCAAAGAAAGGAGATGTTGTGTCAAGGGTATTTTTGTCTAACACTGTAAAATGCTTCACAACCAAAAATATTGATTGATTTGTTTGTTTAACGTCATATCAACTCCTTATGGGTCATTTAATGCCGAAATGGAGGCACAGTGGAGTAATGGATAGCGGCTCGCATTGAGGAATCGGAGAGCCGAGTTCGAATTCCAGTCGAATTCATTACACTCACACACGTACTATACTCTAGGGAAAGGTATGAATCCCAGCTATGGGTAAATAACAGACCGGATTCTATAGCTTTGAATGGCAACTGGTCTACCGCAGAAGGAAATGGCAAAAAAAATGAAAAAAAATCTGCCTCATCAGTCATGTGTCGAAAGATATATGATCGCCTAAGTGTGTATCACGCATGGCACATAACTGAATGCCGAAATATATTTTTTCTATGAGGATTCGAAGTAATAGAAATATGAAATAAGTTATTATGCTTTCACAATTGAATACATGGTAGATGATACTCAGCTTTTATGTATATAGATGTTTGTGTGGACGCGCATGTGTGTGTTTACTTTGTAGTTTGGTTGAAATTATATTTTGGAATGCCGTTTGAGTTAAGAAATTTTAGGACTAATATCATGAAAGAGTTCTTTCATGTTGGTTGTTTGGTTCGTTGATCTTGCTTGGTGGCACATCAACACCTCTATGGGTTATTTAATGCCAAAATCTAAATATTTGGTAACTTTATGGATTAACTACAGATATTTTGTACACTTTTTTATATTTTCAATGTGAACCTATGTTTTTTTTCTATTATATATTTTGGAGATTAAAAAATGTATTTTATTACCAATGTATTTGTAATTTTACTATAAAAATGTATTTTTATTATTTATTATTGTATTAATTGCCATTTTACGATAAACCTTTAATGATGGTCATTTTATTAAATCAATTGAATCTTATTTGAGGATTCACTTTTTCCCTATACCTGGGACCCTAACAGGTGCTACAACCCCGGTCAGTGTGGACCTTAGAAAAACATCATTTAAGAAGTAGTTCTATGCTCCTCGAAACCTCCAATCTCCTGATCAGAGGTCTTGCTACCGGATGTAGTTTATCGTCATACCCAGGACAAAAAAAAAAAAAACCTGAGTACTTGAGTCGTGTATTAATTAGTCTCATCAGATCGAGACATTCATATAGATGTCATGCATGGCTTCCATTTCATTCAGATATTTCTAAACTATTGTAGGGATGCAAAAGGTAATTATCTCATTTTGATTGAGATGAACTCAAATGGGTCATGTGACGGACGTTTTGCGTCGTCAGTTCATATTTTGATGAAATTAATCAATCCGCTAATTAGGTTCCAGGAGTCAAAACGAGCATCTGCTTTTTTTTTTTTTTTTTTTTTTTTAAATACGAGCAAAGTATAAATCTGCCTGCCCAGGCTGAGGATATATCTGCTTCGCCCGAACGAGCTGCCAAATGGGCCGCTCACAAGCATTTGAAGCCTTTTTCCTTTGGGAAATATGTCATCACCACATATAGAAACTATTTCCTGCTTGCATGTTAGGAAATACCCATGACTCGTCGTTCTCCGTTTGAGAAATGTGTCCTCGCCGGTGATATAGAATATAAATCCGGATCGCACGAATTCCTATTGGGAAACCTTAATATCACTTCTCCATAAACATAGGAGAATTCAGCGGCAGCTTAAATTCCTGTTGATATTCATCACAAGTAAGACCCTATGTATCTACCCATATTTTCACATTATTTGTTGTTGTGCACCTGTGTTATAATTTCTCTGTGTGGGACAAGTGTAAATGTGTATATAAATTTGTGTATAAAACGCTCTCTGAGAACAAGACAGTTTGTCATTCCTTTTCTTTCTGCTATTCCTTTCCCTCAGTGTGTTAAGGTTTTACTATATCATGGATATAATAGTGCCCATAATGGGGAAATACAAATATGAAATATTCTTTTATTCTCATAGCAACTCCATTGTTATGATCTCCATACTCCTTTTTGTTCTCAGGTCAATGATTAAAATGGCAGCAAGCGAATGAATCCTTCAGGTCTTAAAATAGACTATTCTAAATCAAAACCTATAAATAACCTGAAGATATAAGATTGTAAAGAATTCCCAGAAATAATAAAAAAAAAAAAAACAGATCACTTGAGGATTTTAAAGAGCAGCAACAACTAAATTACATAGCACATATAATTCGAAGGGAAAATAAAGATATAATCATTGACTTTCGAGACAAAGTTAAACAAACTTTCCTCCATATTTTTCCAGTATGTATGCCTTTCATCTCTCTGTTTGACGGTCTCCCTTCAACTCAGAATTCTAACGGCTTTTTCCTATCTCTCTTAGATTTCATTTTCCTTCCTCTCTTTCCCTCTGTGAATCTTTTCATGGCACGCTTTTTCATTTTCTCTTTTCCTCTCAAAAAGCTCCCTCTTTTTCTCCATCTCTTCTTTGCTTGCACATTCCTCTCTTATTTTCTCTAAATCTCTTCCCTTTCACGTCCCTCCCATTTTTTCTCCAACTCTCTTTACTCTATCATAACTTCCTCTCTTTCTCTTTATCTCTTCCCTCTCACATTGCTACATCTTTTTCTCTATCTCACTTCCCTCTCATATTACTCACTCCTTTTCTCTATTTCTTTTCCTCTCACATGCCTCTCTCTTTTTCTACATCTATTTGTCGCCTCACATCCCTCTCTCTTTTTCCTATCTCTCTTTCCTCTCACATTCCTCCCTCTTTTTCTCTATATCTCTTTCCTCTCACATTCCTCCCTCTTTGTCTGTATATCTCTTCCCTCCTTACATTGCACCCTCTTTTCTTTATCTCACTTTCCTCTCATATAACTGACTCCTCTTTTCTATCTCTTTCCTCTCACGTTGCTTCGTCCTTTCTCTATATCTCTTTCCTCTCACATTACTCCCTCTTTTTTCTATATCTCTTTCCTCTCACATTACTCCCTTTATTTTCTATATGTTTTTCCTTTCACATTACTCCCTCTATTTTCTATGTTTTTTCTCTCACATTACTCACTCTATTTTCTATGTTTTTCCTCTCACATTACTCCCTCTTTTTCTATATCTCTTTCGTCTCACATTACTCCCTCTTTTTTCTATATCTCTTTCCTCTCACGTTACTCCCTCTATTTTCTATATCTCTTTCCTCTCACATTACTCCTTCTATTTTCTATATATTTTTCCTCTCACATTACTCCCTCTATTTTCTATATGTTTTTCCTCTCACATTACTCCCTCTTTTTTCTATATCTCTTCCCTCTCACATTACACCCTCTATTTTCTATATGTTTTTCCTCTCACATTACTCCCTCTGTTTTCTATATCTTTTCCCCTTCACATTGCCCCCTCTTTTTCGACTTCAGAAAACTTTTTTTTTCCCGTAAAACAGTTTTCAGAAGAAAGATTTTATAAATTCCAACCGACTGTAACATTCATTCTTCGGTCATGGAATGCCTAATGCTTCCTTCTAAGAAAGCAACTAATCTCACCATTACTATTATCATTATTCCAGATTTCGTTTTGGTCTAAATTACCACCATATTCATCCTTACGTTTCTTTACCTTGTATATTCAATACGCTTCTGTCTGTTTTGATATATATTTTGCTTGCACCCTCCAGTCACTTACGATGTTATCTTCAGTCTAAACTCTTTTTCCACAAAAACGACATTTTTCTGGGGTTTGTCGAGTTTTATTTTAATATAATTGGTCCCGTTGAAAACGTTATCAGCACCAATTTTATCAATGTGGAACTTTAAAAGGAGTCTTCCTGACTTCTTTTAAAATTCCATCTTAATTTCATCTTCGACTCATCTTTAAAACATTCTTCTTCTTCATCTTCTTCTTCTTCTTCTTCTTCTTCTTCTTCTTTCATTCATTCATATCAATCTCTGTCTATGCTCTTCTCTCTACACTTTCATTATCTCTCTATCGTTTCACTCATAGATTTCCCCACTCTTTCTACGTATATTTCCATATTTTTTCTCTTTATTTATGCTTTCTTCTTTTCTTTTGTCTTCCAATTACAACTATTTTGTTTCTATATTTATCTCTCTCTCTCTCTCTCTCTGTTCTCTTCCCTGTTTTCTCTCTTCTCTTTCCTGTATTTCCCTTTTTAAAACTACCTTTCTCTTTTGCCTCTTTGTCCGTCTCCATATTTATCTCTCTCCTTCCCTTTAGTATTCTCTTTCTCTCTTTGTCACCAACCACTCCCTATTTACTCTTGTAATTTGCAATTCATTGTCCTACTGCATTTATCACCTCTCTTTCTTTCTCTCTTCCTCTCTTTAAAACTGTCTTTCACTTTGTTTTTCTTTTTCAGCCTCTTCTTTCTTCTTTAGTCTTTCTTCTCCCACTCTCAGCACCCGTTCTCTCATTCTCTGTATTTTTAACTTATTCCTTTTCTATTCCGTCTCTATTCATTTCTATCTACGCTCCTACCTTCTAACTTTCATTTTCTGTCTCTATCGTTTCACTTCCATATTTGATCTCACTTTCTATGCATATTTCTATATTTTTCTATTTATTTATGCTTTTTCTCTTTTCTTTATTCCCTTCAACTACCACTACTTTTGTTTCTATACTTTTCACTCTATCTCTCTCTATTCACCCTTCTCTCTTTGCATTTTCCTGTATTTTTTTTCTAACTCTTCCTTTTTCTTGTGCCTCCCGTTCGTCTCCATATTAATCTCTCTCACCTTGCTCTTTACTATTCATACTCTTTCAGTTTCTGTCTCTCTATTTACACTATGTCTTTGCCCTATATTGTCTTTCTTTTTTTATCATTACTATTTCTCTACCTTTTTAAAACTTTCTCTCACTCTGTTTTTCTTCCTCTTAGTTCTTCCTTAGACTCAGAAATCATCTCTCTCTCTCTCTCTCTTTTATATATATATATATAGTACTTGCTGGCCACTCGTATTCGAGGATGCCCGTCTACTAGGGCGGCTAACCAATCCATATTTCCGACTCTCGCTCAGGCACATTTTGTGTTTGTTCAACACCCACAAAGCCAAGCCATGGTTTATACTGCAACTATGCTGAGCAGACCTTAGTTATAGTTTCTGAGGAAGAGCGTGTTATTTAGCGTGATCAACAAGTCCAACACGCTCAAGTCTTAGTCCACGATGACTTGTGACTTCGTGTTAGGACAGCTATCGACGGCCCGAGGGGTACCGTCTACCCAACTTCATATATATATATATATATATATATATATATATATATATATATATATATATATATAAAGCATTTCACCCCAAGCAAGTGCTTGCAGAGGATTTCGAGCGAGAGCAGATAGGAATGATAGGGGAGAGGGTGAGGAGAAGGATAGTGCATAGATCAAGGCGACTGCAGATGTCGATTGACATTACATTTGAATACGTGGAGATTAAAGCTTACAGGGAAACAGGAGTAGGGAAAGGAGTTCCACAGGCGAGAGGTACGAGACATGAAGCTATTGGAGTAAAAGACGCGGCTACATTTAACAGTTTCAACAGTGAAAGGGTGAAAGCGGGATGCCAGCCTCGTAGGTCGCTTGAAGTCGCGAAATCTGGGAACCAGCGAAAGCAGCACATAATTCAAGCAATTATCTTGAAAGTACTTGTAAAAAAGACTGAGAGAGGCAACGGCACGTCTGTGAGAGAGCGACTGCAGATGAGATGCCAGATCAGAGCAAATTACATTGCATATCCGTCTCTGGATCTTGTCAAGAACCTCGAGGCAAACAGAATGGGCTCCAGACCATATATAGCAGCAATACTCCATGCAAGGGCAAATTGTTGATTTGTAGACCTGAAGGATCGATTCCGGGGAATTTGTTCCATCTCAGTAGACAACGTGAAACCGAGCAGCCGCAGAGAGCCGCTCTCGGGATGTTGAGCGTCAGACATTCTAAGGTGGGGGGTGAGGAAGGCTCTCTGTGGTGATTAATAGAGAGCAGTTTTGTTTCGGCGGCGTTAAAGTTAACCAGCCAATTACGGCCCCAGTTCACAAACAATTGGAGGTCCTTTTCGAGACGAACGGCCAGTTTAGTTTTGTCAACGACACTATATATATATATATATATATATATATATATATATATATATATATATATATATATATGACGGTGTAAGGCACTGATTCGCTTCCTGTCGGAGGACACATATTTTCTAAGAAATTTCTCGGACATTTAGGCCGGTAAATGCAAATTAATACTGTTTATTATAAACAGATCATTTATTTAAATAATTGTATGTATAAAAATATCGTATAAACATATATTAAAGTAATTGTCGGTTTTAGTCCACCTCATATTATATATATATATATATATATATATATATATATATATATATATATATATATATATATATGTATGTATGTATGTATGTATATGTATTCGAGGATACCACTCTACTAGGGCGGCTAGCCAATCGCTATTGCAGACGCCCCTTCAAGCACATTTGTGTTTTGTTCAACATCCACAGAGCCCACCTGTGGTTTATACTACAACTATGTTGAACAGACCTTAGTTACAGTTTTTGGGAGAGAGCCTGTTATCTAGTGTGATCAACAATCTGAACAAGGCCAGCACACTCAAACCCTCAGCCACGATGACTTGTGACTTCGTGCTAGCACATCTATCGACGACCCCAAAAGGTTCTGTCTACCTAATTTCATTCACAAGGCTT